TATGTCTATATCTACATGTGCAGATGTTTCCATGTCTATATCTACCTGTGCAGATGTTTCCATGTCTATATCTACCTGTGCAGACGTTTCTATGTATATATCTACCTGTGCAGATGTTTCCATGTCTATTTCTACCTTTGCAGAAGTTTCCATGTCTATATCTACCTGTGCAGATGTTTCCATGCCTATATCTACCTTTGCAGATGTTTCCATGTCTATATCTACCTGTGCAGATGTTTCCATGTCTATATCTACCTGTGCATATGTTGCCATGTCTAGATCTCCCTGTGGAAATGTTGCCATGTCTACTGTATGTCTACCATTGCAGATGTTTCCATGTCTATATCTACCTGTGCAGATGTTTCCACATTTATATCTACCTTTGCAGATGTTTCCATGTTTTTTTCTACCTGTGCAGATGTTTCCATGTTTATATCTACCTGTACAGATGTTTCCATGTTTATATCTACCTGTGCAGATGTTTCCATGTTTATTTCTACCTGTGCAGATGTTTCCATGTTTATTTCTTCCTGTGCAGATGTTTCCACGTCTATATCTACCTGTACAGACGTTTCTATGTCTATATCTACCTGTGCAGATGTTTTCATGTCTATATCTACCTGTGCAGATGTTTCCATGTCTATATCTACCTGTGCAGACGTTTCTATGTCTATATCTACCTGTGCAGATGTTTCCATGTCTATATTTACCTGTGCAGATGTTTCCATGTCTATATCTACCTGTGCAGACGTTTCTATGTCTATATCTACCTGTGCAGATGTTTCCATGTCTATATCTACCTGTGCAGATTTGGTTGTCGCGTCCTGATATGGTGAAACCAACGTCACAGGTGCAGTGTGTTGAGCCCAGAAAATGTGTACAGTTGGAGGGTCGGATGGAGGAGGAAGGAGAGGAAGATGTTGGAGGTGATAGTAGAGAAGGTGACGTTGCTGAGGAAGAGGAAGATGAGGCAGCAGAAATGGTGAAGGACAAAGCAGGTGATGAAAGTGAAGCCAAGGAGCTGGTGGTGACATTCAGGTCTGAGAGAAAAAAAAACAGAACAGAAAAACGATGCTGAACTTGGGACAAGAACATTCTGAAATAGGTGGTAAATGGTCTAAACACTAAATAGACACTAATTGTTGTCCTTACATCTGCACATGGGCTGCTGACCGCTCCACTTCAAAGTGTCCAGACATACACGTGTTCGTGGACCAATTAGCTCATAGCCAGGCTTACACAGGAAGTGTACCTCATGTCCCACCTCAAACACCCGGCCCAGTCTGCGACCGTGAGCCGGGGGGTCAGGCTTTGGGCAAGATTCTAGTAACAGAGAGGGTTCAGAGGTTTTACAAGAAGAAATTTCTTTTTGTCTTCCATCCATCCATCCATCCATCCATCCATCCATCCATCCATCCATCCATCCATCCATCCATCCATCCATCCA